CAAGAGCGCTGCGTCACGTTCTCAGCCCAGCGAGCAATCAACGTGCAGGATGACGGAATGCGTGTCGATGTACTCCGTATTTCTGAACAGAGCGTGACGCTTCCTCCCCGAGCCAATGTTATAGTCGACGTAACATGCTGTGGTTTGAGCGATGGCGATGTGGTGGCCGAGACAAATTTAGAACACCTCCTGCAGCAAGGCATATGTGTAGCGAGAAGTGTTATACACGTTCGTGACGGCCGATCTGAATTGCTCGTTACCAACTTTAGCAACGAGCATCGACACCTTTTCCGTGGCACTTCGATAGCGTTTGCCCACGAAGTAGCAAACGTAACCAACTGTCTCACGTCAGAAGTAGTGGATAACGCAGACACATCAATGAGCAACATTGACATCAATCCTGATCTGTCCACCGATAACCAGACTGCGCTGCGAGCGCTCTTGTTTGAGTACAGGTCTTGCTTCGCAAGTTGCTCGAAGATCCGCCAGACGTCCATCACTCAACACAGGATCATCACGTACGAGGACGCACGCCCAATACACCAGCACCCCTACCGCGTGTCGGGTAAAGAACGTGAAGCGATACGTACGCAAGTTCGCGAGATGCTTCACGATGGCGTTATCGAACCATCCAACAGCCCGTGGTCATCTCCAGTCGTGCTTGTCAAAAAGAAGGACGGGTCGCTACGCTTCTGCGTCGATTACCGAAAGCTTAACAACGTGACCCAAAAGGATGTGTACCCGCTACCGCGTATCCACGATTCGCTAGATAGACTTCGTCGTGCCCATTATTTCACTTCTCTCGATCTCAAAAGCGAGTACTGGCAAATCGAGGTAGATCAGCGAGACCGCGAAAAGACAGCCTTCGTGACTCCAGACGGCCTATACCAATTTCGAGTACTCCCTTTCGGCTTCTGTTCAGCGCCGGCGACTTTCCAGCGAATGATGGACACTGTCCTCACAGGGCTGAAGTGGCAGACTTGTCTTGTCTACCTTGACGATGTGGTGGTCTTCTCTGCCACGTTCGAGCAGCACCTTCAGCGCCTGCGCAGCGTGCTGGAGGCTCTCCGATCGGCGGACCTAACACTAAAGCCACAGAAGTGCCACTTCGGCTATAAAGAACTAAAGTTTCTTGGACATGTAGTTAGCGCCGAAGGAATCCGTCCCGATCCGGACAAGCTTGCCGCTGTTGCCGAATTACCAGCTCCTGTCGATAAGAAAGCCGTCCGGCGCTTCCTTGGTTTGTGCGCCTACTATCGCCGATTCATTCATGGCTTTTCACAGATAGCAGAACCTCTGACTCGTCTCACAAGGGACGACACACCGTTTGTCTGGGAAAACGAGCAACAAGCAGCTTTTGATGAGCTGCGACAGCGCATGCAATCAGCGCCCGTTCTCGCTCATTTCGACGATGATGCTGACACGGAGGTCCATACCGACGCTAGTAACATTGGGCTCGGTGCAGTGCTCGTTCAGCGTCAAGAAGACATCGAAAGAGCGATAGCCTACGCCAGCCGCTCTCTATCGCGTGCTGAGGCGAATCATTCCACTACGGAGAAAGAGTGCCTCGCAGTCGTGTGGGCAATCACCAAGTTCCGCCCGTACCTTTATGGTCGTCCCTTCAAGATAGTGACGGACCACCACGCCCTCTGCTGGTTGGCAAGCCTGCGCGACCCTTCAGGACGGCTAGCACGGTGGAGCTTGCGGCTGCAGGAATTTGACGTCACCATCGTCCATAAGTCCGGCCGTAAGCATGAAGACGCTGACACACTGTCACGCGCGCCCCTTCATGTCGTCAGTCAGGAAGCAGAGGAAGACGAAGGCTTCCTGGGCGCCATTAGCTCATCAGACTTGAGTAAACGGCAGCGGGATGACGCAGAGATTCGTCCGATCATCGATCATTTAGAGGTCCAGGGCACAATCATACCACGTCATTTATTCCACTTGTTGCCGTCGTTCTGCCTTCGAGATGGTGTGCTGTACAAGAAGAACGCTCGTTCGAACAACCGTGCCTACCTCCTGGTGGTTCCTCGAGACATGCGAGACGACGTCCTCTTCGCTTGCCATGACGAACCCACATCCGGTCATCTGGGCTACTCACGAACACTTGCCAGAGTGAGTGAGAGGTACTATTGGCCAGGACTTTCGGCAAGCGTCAAGAAGTACGTGAAGAGCTGTCGGGAATGTCAGCGCCGAAAGCAACCATCTGTTAAGCCAGCTGGTTTGCTTCAGCCCATTGAAGCACCTTGCACGCCATTCGACCAAGTCGGCATGGACATTCTCGGGCCATTTCCCCTGTCTGCGGACAGCAACAAATGGGTGATCGTCGCGACCGACTATTTGACACGCTACGCTGAAACCCAGGCGATCCCACGAGCCACGGCTTCTGACGTGCACAATTTTTCATGCGCCACATCGTGTTACGACACGGTGCTCCTTCCAGTGTAATAACGGACAGAGGGACGGCATTCACGGCGCAGCTTACGGACGAAGTTTTCAAACTGAGCAACACCAGACACCGAAGAACAACTGCGTACCACCCGCAAACCAACGGACTTACCGAGCGACTGAATAAGACCCTCGCAGACATGATCTCAATGTACATCGACGTACAGCACAAAACATGAGACCGGATCTTACCTTACGTGACCTTCGCGTATAATACCGCCGTGCAAGAGACCACGCGATTCACGCCATTTCGGCTTCTCTACGGCCGCGAAGTGCAGACCATGCTAGACTCTATGCTACCGTGTCAAGACGAAAACGAGTTGGCAACTGACGCCGAAGAATTCGCAGAGCGTGCTGAGAAAGCCCGGCAGCTCGCGCGACTGCACATCGGCCAGCAACAGCAGGCAGACGCACGACGCTATAATACCCGCCACAGAGAAGTGTTTTACAGCCCCGGAGATCAAGTTTGGGTGTGGACGCCCGTCCGCCGCCGTGGCCTTAGCGAAAAGTTGCTGAGCCGGTACTTTGGCCCATATAAAGTGTTACGCCGCGTCAGTGACGTGAACTACGAAGTGGTTCCGGACTCAACACCCCATGCACGGAGCAGGACACGGCTGAGGCCGGACGTCGTTCATGTGTTGCGCATGAAACCATTTATTGCGCGTTGCTCGTAACTTTTCCTTAACCGTACAGCATTCTTTGTGTTTTTTGTTTATTTGTGTGAACTTGCTTTCTCGTTCATTGACATTTCTTATATTGGCACGCTCTTCAATTTTTACTTTCACATTATCCGAATTTCAAATTTCTTTTTCACGTGCCTTTGTAGTAGCATCGCGTTGATGCTATGTACTTTTCTTTCCTCTTTTTGGGACTTGTTTTATTTTTCTTTTCGGAAGGGGGGATAATGTCACCAGCACGTAGTGGGTCGACAGCAAGAGCGGCTCTCAATCTGGAGGAAAAAGATGATCGCGTGCTTTCTTCTCTGCTCGAGAGCCAGCCACGACTGACGCATCGTCCTAGAGCTAGCTACCCGGTCGTTCAATAAATCCCCCAGTACTCGTGACTCATCGTGACAGTAATTTTTTCATTTTAACATGTAAGAATTTTCTCGAAAAAATAAAACATTTAGGCTCTTTATTTTTTGAGTAACAATGACGTAGCTACAACGAAGACAAATTGACACAGATTCAAATTCATAGTTTGAGCGAAGTGAATGATGAAAACTGCACTGACGAGGAGGAGTTGTTGAGCAGTCTGCCTCCAAGGAAACATGGTCAAGTGGCCACTTGCCATTTCCAGCCAGCTAAAGTAAAGGTACTGCCGTTTGGAAGAAAAAAAAAAATCACAGCATATCCACAGAGTGAATGATGATTGGTGGGGCGCAGCGTTCGTCAGTCTGTCTGCCCATTCGTTCTTGCGTCCGCCTATCTGTGTGATCTTTGGTGCATCCGTCCGTTTGTTCATTCATCTGTCTGTCCGTCCATCTCTTTTTGCGGCCATCCCTCTGTCTGTCCATCCGTCCGTGTGCCCCTCTGTCTGTCCGTCCGTGCGTGTGTCAGTCCGTTCGTCCGTCCATATGCCTAGAGAAAACTCCAAGCACAGCCATCTCACATCTTTTCATTATGTATTATCATATACAAGTGCCCCCATCCAGCGACATTGTAAAGACCGCTATTTCGGGTACGTGCCACTGGTGGTTACGTACTACGAGAAACGCACAAACCACGCCATAAGAAGCTTCAACCCTAAAAACATTTGGTTACAGAGCTTTACCAGCCCAGAGCTGCTAGTGATCCGACGTTCTTTTTGTTGCAGAAAAATCTGAAATTATTGCAACGATTTTTAAAATTGCTGCTGACCTGTGAGTCTCAGGTCCAGATATGGAAATTTTCATATCTGCAGCGAGTACACTATGAACAGCTAGTAGAAAACAAAAAGTACGCTTTCAGCACTGCGCATGAAATATTTGAGAGAATTGTTTGCCACTTTAGGGGAACATTGTATCACTTGCTCTTTTGATGACGAAGTGTGACCTGGAGTGATGTGCAGATGTCAAGCTGTACAGTGATGGCAGTGGTCAGGTGACTAAAGTCATTTGTCTGTGACCCAGATAACTTTTTCACTCCAGGAGACTTCTCTGTAGATTGATCTTGTGAAAGATTATTTGCACTTTTCGATGGTTTTCCGCTTAGGTGATGTACGGAATTCCTGAGCGATCCGATGCAGCCACTTATTAGAGTTATACCTAAATCTGCTAGATCGTTTGTAGGGCCCAGTCCACACATGTGTGCGGGTCTGTTTCATCAGCCAACTACTCAGATATTTTTAGTTTAACTTTTGAAAAATTCAATGAAATAAAGTGAATAGTAATAACTTTTTAGCATATTTGCATTCTTTTCTTTTATATTTTTCTTGGGCAGGAAAGGGATATTTTCTCTGCAGATTATTGTGCTCATTTTACCGACTTAATTATCACAGTGTGAATAGCCCAAGTTCTAAAATCACAACTAGTATATTGGCAATCTGATAGAATGCCCTCCGAATGGCCTGACCTGAGTGAACGCAGCTTGGCAGCATGGTTGATGTCGGAGAGGGAGGACTCTGACTGCTGGAGGCCAGCCATGATGCGATTGTACTCAGGGTGCTGGGGGCTCAGAACCAGCTTTGGGTGGTTGCATACCTTGCGCAAGTACTGCAGGGCCTGGAAGAAAAACAGTGTCTGCATTTTACACCATGAATGGACTGTGTGTGACGCATAACTACTTTAAAAAATACAGTGATGAAACACATAGGCCAGTGTACTGACGTCAATGCGTTAGTGCAGATGGTTTACCACTGTTGTCTGCTTGCTTTCAGTCCTCCACTCCGCAATGATGTGAGTAGCAATTTATTTATACCTTGGTGTTCATACAGTTTTACACAAAAGTATATTTTGAAGGAACACTAAATAAAATTTGAAAAAAAGAAGAAGAAAATTGTCAAAGTTCCACTTGGAAGACACAATTGCTTGGATTTCTCGTATTTTTGAACGGATCTTTGGATGATTGTGAGCACGTGGCAATAGAAGTCCTAGCAAAACAGCCCTTCTTTTTCTCACACAAATGCGCTTCAATGTGCCTGCCCATGCCGTTTGTACTAATTTTCAGGACCTTAGTGCGGGTGGAGTCGGTTGAGAAGGGGGTCATGGTTATCATGCCCGCTTGCGGAGAGTTAAACATTACCAGTTGTAGTGCCGGCACCGCATCTAATTTTCCAAAAAAAGCTTATGGTTCTCCACCTGTTTCTACCTGAAAACAATGCCATGTCTCAGCACTGAAGCTTTGAGCTACATCTTGGTGGCGAAAAAGCCCGTTTCACTAGAAGTCCCTACGTACCAGCCTTGTCTGCAAGTGAAAAGTGCTGATGAATGTAAAGAAAAAAAAAGGATACGACGCACATTCCAACAACAGCTTTCCATGTGGCAACCGTAGAGTCATGCCAGTGATCAAACTGCTGAAAGAAGTGTACAAAGTGTACTAAGGAGGGCGAGGAGTCTTGTTAAGAAAATTAGTACTAAAAGGGAAGCATGAAGGAAATCTGCAAGGAAAGAAATCCTAGAATTCCTTCTTGTGTCGCCCTCGCGCTACTAATCGCTATCTTCCTGGTTAGCTCAATTTGTAGAGCAACCGCCCCAGAGAGGCATTGGTCCTGGGTTCGAACTGTGGACCAGGATGAATTTTTCAGCAACAAAGAAGCTTTTCTTTCTAAGAAATCCATGCAGGTTTCCTTGTGCCTTTGTGCTGTGAACAAGTGGTTGTCTATTTTCATTAAAACCAGCCATGTATATAGCGATACTAGCCAAGCGTGCCCTGCGCAGCAGGTGTACAACTAAGTTCACTTCGACAAACTCGACAACAAAAACGCAGCGTCCCATAGCGGTGCACAAATGTTGCGGGAGCACAACACACCATCAGTGCGGTTGCGCTTTGCATGACCTCCGAGAAGGCGAGCATGTGGCGTGTTTCTACCTTGCACGCCTGCCATCTTGGAGCCCATGCGCTTTGTTTTTTGCTTTCTTTTCTTGCCATTGTGTTTTCGTGGCGCTATAAGCAAAGAGGTTTCCCCTGCATTTTACAGATGGCGCTCTTTCACAAAAGGCGCGACTTTTAAACTTTGACTGCCGCCGTCCGAGCTCGCATTGCTCACAACTATTTAGCATGGTTGTTAAACCATGTTTTGACTTTTATTTCATCATTATCTTGTGACATAATGGCTTGAGTTAACGTTGTTTCAATCATCAACGGCACTGGTTAACGAACCGAAATAAAATGAATAGATACATTAAAACATTTTCTTCTTTTTTTGACGAACAAGTTGAGGGGTGGGTTCATGATAAGGGTGGGTTCATTATGCGAATAAATACGGCAATTTAGAAACACCAACCATAGGGCAATTGGTCATGCCTGCACAATGTGACTTACTGTCAGTTCATCTTGGCAAATACTGTTGTCCCATATTGCTACTTTCCTGAAGCCACTAACATATTCGGAGGTTTGTATAATGTGGCAGTTTATATTGTCAATGCTGAAGAATTATATCTTCCTCCTAATGCTTGCAGGCAGTACTTATGAATGTGCAGTTAGTTAGTTGGCGATCAGTGTTTTTAACGAAAAATAAAGTCAGATTACTTATCTGCACGATATCAAAAGTATTTATTTAAGTGGACTAGATGGGACCATTCTGCAACGTTAGCTCCTTGGAGTCGGCAGGGCTGTGAAATAAGGTAATGTCAATTCTGTACTGCAAATTTTAGCGTGTCACTTTCATTGTATGTACTCTACTTCACTTTTCTTTACTTGGAAACTATTGTGGTTCTGATTAGCTCAATGATTAGCTCAAGATAATACATGGTATGCTGAACTCCGTGTGTGTGTGTGCATATATATATATATATATATATATATACTGATAATAAAATATATAGATACATTAAAATATTTTCTTCCTTTTTCGACGAACAAGTTGAGGGGTGGGTTCATCATAAAGGTGGGTTCATTACGAGAATAAATACGGCAATTTGGAGACACCAACCATAGGAAAATTACTCATGCCTGCTCAATGTGACTTAACTGTCAATTCATCTTGGAAAATACTGTCGTCACATTCTGCAACTTTCCTGAAGCCACTACCATATACTGAGGTTTGTACAATGTGGCAGTCAATGCTGAAGAATTTTATCTTCCTCCTAATGCTTGCAGGCAGTACTTATGAATGTGCAGTCAGTTAGCGATCAATGTTTTTAACAAAAAACATTACTTATTCCGCACAATATCAAAATTATTTATTTAAGTGAACTAGATGGTCTATTATCATTTTATTATATAATTATATATATAATATGTATATAATGCGGCATCCGTTCGCTGTATCCCGAAGTTTGTAGTAAATGAAACACAGCCTTTAAAAAAAGTTGCGAGTGAAAACACAAACTTTTTTGCCCCAAAAAGTCCGTGATGCACGTGTTTCGAAGAACATAAGCGATAAGGGCAGTCTCGAGTTCATTTAAAACAGCAGGGTGCTCGTACGCCGAGGCCCATGGCATAAGCTGCATAAGGCACTGGTTCCAAAGTTCCGTCGTTTTCGGAATCAAATTCCTCCAAATCGCTCTCGCCACGTACTTCATTCACTATGCCCTTCTGTGCACGGTTCCGCAGTGTCGGCACCATCATCGGCCATAATTAAACCATCGCAACAGATGTCCCACCCGCTCTCCCAGGTCGCAGTCGACGCGCTGCCACAATTCGCCGCCGCAGTGATCCTGTTCGGGCTCGGCATCGGGCCCGACGTCGACGAAGTCGGCCTCCCAAAAACAGTTTCGCGCATGTAGCCGTCACCGCCGCCCAGGAAATATTCACCAACTCCACAACTGAATACCGGGACGCCCGAAGCGGCAAGTTGGTTACCAGGTGGTCAACAGCTATGAGCAAGCGCTCCGCAAAGCGGAACCTAACGCGCTGATAACACTTAAGCCAAGTCGTCACGCTTTCGACGTTTTGTTGAGAGGCACGAAAAAGCGTGCTAGTCCTGCTGTCGGCCATCATGATCACAAACGCACACCAAGAGCGAGCAAGACGTGTACACGCGACACACATGCCAGAGCGCGTGGAACAGCTCTGACCCGTTTCCAGTCAGAAAACAAAACTAATTTAAGCCAGCGTGGCAGGCGTCACGGAGCGGTGGAGACAGGCGAAGGGATTGTGATCAAGAGAGAAGAGCAGACTTGTGAGAGAAGGGCAAAAAGTTGCAATAAAAAGAGGGGAAAATGCAGCGGGAGGGCAACCTTGAAAACCAAAATACACGAGGAGGCAGGTTAAGTAGCTTGCTCGAAAGGTCCAGGAAACTCGCATGCAGAAAAACTTGGAAAGAGTGCATGACCGCCTGAATCGGTGCGCGCGGCGGTGTTGGAAAAATCGGCGGCCGTGGTCGAAAAATCGTTTCGTTGCGCCGGCGGGTTTGCGTGGCTTCAAGAACTTCGATATTTTGTGACTCGTTCCGCGCAAATTAACAGCCGTTTTCGCGCTTCAGCACACGCGCGGGAGGCATGCTGATGTAAGTGCGAAGTGAGCGAGAACAATTCCTAAACATGAAAAGAATCGCAAATTATCAGAGTCGGTGGGTTAGCGTACGTGTGTGCACTAGACGCAGACTATCGGATACAGTCGGTGGCCGACGATGTTGGCAAATGGTCTGGTCACTTCAAGCCGGCGACGCCAACGACAGTACCAGCGATCAAAACAGGGTAGATGGCCGACCGGTTTTCGAAAGATCGGTGGCAGTGTGAAAACACGAGCCTCATCTGTCGATGCGGGGTGCTCAGAGTAGCAGGGGGACAAAGGACGGAGGGGTGCATAACAAAAAGCGGTCGGGGAGAGCGGCAACTAGAGGATCGCAGAGGCAAGGTCGGCGTTTAACAATAAAAATGTATGGGCACCTCCCCGATGCCTGATCGGTGGTCGAAATCGGTTTCCTGGGAAGTCGGCAGACCGCTGACTCCGTTTGCTGTAACCGATCAGTGGCGCTTGGAGACGTTTGTTGTAAGTGCAATCTTGTGCCATTGAACCAATGTTTATTTTCATCGTCACGTGGATATTGTTCATTTTAGGCGAAAGTTCGTTTTAAGTGGGGCCGTTATATGTGTGCTCGACTGTATATATATAGACACACACCCAGATCTAACAGACAATAATGCCAAGAAAAAAGTGGATGAAAAGATAACTTGCCGTGGGCAGGAGGAACCGAACCTGCGATTTTCAAATAACTTGTTGAATGCTCGACCAATGAACGTGTTATTCCAACCTTTTAGCATACACTTCCTTCCTCCACACACACAAAAAAAATATATATAGGTGCAAGCGTAGCGATGCACCAACCATGAACATCGCTGTCTTCCTGTTTGAGTGTGGTACCCTCTGCATTTCAAAATAGCGCCGATCTTCTTTATTACAATGTGTACATTTATATATATATATATATATTATATATATATATATATATATATTACAACTTCCTCATCTGTAGATATCATCATCGTGTGTTTTGTGTGAGCCTGAGCTCCACTTGAATAAAGCCGTGCCTCACAAGTGGTGGAACTGCTTTTCGATTCCCCAGTCCTTTCGAACGCTTTCACTAGTGCTCCACTCGGGTTGTCGCGTACTACTGCTT